TTACTATCATCCTACACAAGTCATTTTTCTGGACAGACAAATGCAAGTCCAAATATTTAGCCTCCTTTTTAGCTCCATTTTGTTCTCTACCAACAACTGAAAGAAATGTCATTATGTTGCTATTTGAAAAGAGAACTACTTTGGAAGCTGCAAAAAAAAGGTTGTTAAGAGTTCTGAAAGTCAACCATATCTTTACATTAAATGTCTACTGTATGTTTACAATAAAAATAAGGAATTAAAAAGCTTTGAAGAACTGAAAATGTATATGATAATTCAAATGTATTAATCACTAGGATTAGCCCCTACCATATCACATAGTTATATCTATTCAATGTTAATATGTTGATTAATGCAGGTTTAGTAGTCTGTGCTCAACTCAGTCTAAACTATTCTTAAAAAACTCTTTCCCTTAGCTGTACCATGTGCTGCTTTTCTTTTTCAGACACTATTCAAAGTCTACACAGGTGATTTATGTAGTATATCATTTGTCCAAATTCAATTAGGGCCGTTTGTCTTGTACCCTGCTGCAGTAACCATAGTAACAAAGTATAATTGAATTTGAATCCTCTCCTCGCAGCTTTAACTTCAATCTTACACAGAAACGTAAAACCTGAATGGAATGGCAATAATACTGTGCATCATGTTGTCATATTCATTGTTTGTATTGTAACTTTTAAGTGTTACTCTAAATGTTACGCTCATTTGTCTGTTCTGGAAGAGCGATGCCTCCTCTGTTGCTTTAACTGACGCTTCTTCCATATTTTTCCTTATTAAATAATAGAGTTTTGGGGCATTTTTTCCATATCCAAGCGAGGGCTGAAAAAGGACAGAGGGTGTTGTATGCTGAACAGAGGCAACCATTTGCTTTGTGATTCTGGACTTTATACCAAAACAAACTTGATTACGTGCAAGTCACAAATTAATCATGAACAAATGTTTCGGGTCATATATGATGGATAAAAACCCCAAAAGACCTAAAAGTGGCCTCTACTGGAAATTCTTGTTTAAACCGCTCAATTATATAAAACATTTATCACTTAATCTCCAGTCCTCTTAAAACTGCTGCAGAGCTCAGTTTGGACTGAACACTAAACATTCATGGGAACCAGCTCTTCCTGCCGCTTCTGGATCTGTGCCAAAGCTCTGAGTTTTCTCAAGAGGCTGTTTCACTGCTCCATTATTGGGCTATGAAGTGTGTCTATCACTGTAAGCAAGGATAAAACGGGAAAAAGAAACTAAGCAGGAATCCGTTGAGTAATCGGCCAAGTTACAGCTACGAGGCTAGAGAGAGGAAGCTGGAGACGGACAGATAAGGAACATTTTATATTCTGTGTGGTTTTCCATCCCAACTGCCATCCTCACATGCAGCGGCTCTGTGTGGCAGATGATAACCAATGTGAGAAATCTTTGCCTCCTTAAACATGTATCCAATCAACATTGTGTCCCCCAGCATTCTGCACATAACTGTGTCTCCAATCAGGCACTGGAGATAAACCAGAGGAGCCTAACTGCTAACCAAAGTTCAGGGGTCTGCCACAAAGACTGGCACACACAGTACAATGTGGAAAAGACAAAGGTCTTGTGGGTCATATGTAATATTGAGTTGAATTCTGGAAAAATCCATGACGTTTAACTGTGAGTCCAATTGTTCACATTGTCCTTAGAAAGAGGAGTGGGAGTAAAATAGAGCGACACAGACGTCAAGACACAGTACTGCAGTCTTTTGTGCTGAATCATAGTGGGGTGAGGGAGACTGTGAGTTATGCACTATGGTCAGACTAAAAGCTACATTTATTAGATTTATTTTTAAAGAGTTTTTCTCTGGAACCAAGGGAACAAGCACAGCATAATACAAAAACGGAACTGGTCCAAATTGCTGTTTGTATTAATGGAATTTGCCCATTCTCATGGATGGTGACCTTACATACTTTTACTCCAGCCACATATGTCCCTATTGACCAATTAAATGTCACAGGGTGATGTGTGAATCATGGCCATGTGATTTCAGTAATGTCAGAAGAGACGGTTATTGAAGATTAATGCAAGAGTTTGCTGACAAGCAAGGCAATGATGCAATCATGAGGCTTTCCACAAACAGTGATATTCTAGGCTTAGCATTATAATTAGGTAACTTCATTATTTGATAGATTTCCTAACAAAGCAATGACAACTTTGGTATGATTTTAGAGTAAAACCCTTCATTTTTCCACCGGAAATTATATCATTATTATCTTTGGAGCTCGGCCCCCAGACGTCTGTACTCACATCACAGGAGTGTATTTAGTTAAGGGACAGGGTTTGGTTTCCACATGTGTTGTCATCACTCTGTGTCTCTTGATTAAAGTGTGATGACAAGACAAGGATTGTGAGTAGCTTAATACTTATCAGAATAAACAAACACAAAATATTGACCTCTCATCTCTAGTATCCCCAACTTTCTTGTCCTACGTGCAATTGCTTGCTTTATATTGCTTAACAACTATGCTGTATGTGTGAGTTTGTGTAAACAGTTAGGGAGTTCTGGCCAGACAAATCTGACGTTAGTGGAGAGAGGGGCAGTCACGGCTGCAGTAGGAGGGGAGCTATTGAACTACTGCAACTCAGAGGTCCGACAGTCAGCGGCACTTCCCATGCTGATGACAGGACACCAGGGCTGACCCACCTTTGACCGACAGCTGTCAGAACCTGACCGACAAGTCGACAAACAGCGACGCAGACAGGCCTTCCCTCTGACATATCATCAGCTGGATCCACTGATTCAAAGTCCAGCTGAATAATATATACTGTGAGTATGAGCCATTTATTCATCACAGCTAATGGGATCTTTGTCTAGATAAGTAATATTACATGAAATGGAATCAAGTGAACGCAGCGTGTCACATTGTTTTAAAATCAGCAACAATGGAATTGCCAAGGAAAAGTGCCCATCTTTGGTCCATTTGCTATCTCTAATCTTGAATTCATTTGGTTTTGGTAGAAACAAAAACATCAGTTATGCACGCTTGCATCTGCTCTTACACTCTAATCCGTGTTGGTATGTGGATGGTGTTACTGTAACTTATCTACCCTCCAGATCCTCCTGGCCGTGGTCTTATCTATGGTTTTGGTATGCACTCGTACCGTCTGCCGCGCTAACGTGAAGATAAGTCTTAGCGTTTTAACGACAGAGGTGAAATGTAAGACGCCGTTCCAGATGTAACATTCAGTATCTCGGCCTGAATGTTTGTTATGTGGCTCTCCCTGGAAAGTTTGGCCGCAAGTCCGGGCTTCACAAACGCAGTAAACTTAACACTCTCATGTCAACTCATTGTAGGTCTTTTACAAACATTGACATATAAGGGATGGGGATGGGGAGCACCGGCACAGCTACTAAACACCTTTAACAAGGGTTCTCCTGTACAAGTCACATATTTTTTTGGAGCAGAACACATATGATCAGGGTTAAGACCTGATAATTCAGTAAACATATTACACGAATAAAAATATCTGAGAGACAAAGAGGTTCTTCTATGCTGCACTAGCTGAGAATGTCACATACTTTGAGCCACAACGCATCCACTCGGAACACTTCATGGCCTTGTAACTGTCCCTTTCATGTGTGTGTGTGGACACGAGCCCAGCAGAAAGGCCTCTGTTCTCATGGGAGTGTGAGAAACACATGCAGAGGCATCCAGGAAGTGTGAGCTAAGTGGTGAAGAATAGAGAGAGTGGATGTTGACAGGGGTTATCTGAGGTCGGACAGCTCCTCTCTACCAGCCGGCTAATGCATATAAAGCGTATGTTTCAAAATCTGCTGCAACATCGAGGAAGCCCAGTATTTTTGCTGTGAAGAGTATACAATCAGTGAAGGAGCTTGCATTTTGATGACCTTGATATGTCCAGTTTTATTATGACCCAATGAAAATTATAGTGTATTTCGAAAATGCTCGGCTAAAGAATGAAGAAGCCCAACAACAGCTAAGTTATCACTAACGTAATTTTTTTTTACAGCAGGTGGTTTTTGTATCTCTTAACCCTTGAAAAGATAAGGTAGTAGATTCATACTTTTAAATATTTACACTTTTGACCACTCCCTGTCCTGCCTGCATACATTTCCCTGGAATTCCTTTGATTGCAACACCCATATAGGACTAACCTCAGAGGATACTTTTGTGTACACATTAACAACAGGGGCTGCAGTCCCAGGTCAGGGTAGAACGGTATCTCACTCCCACTGCAAATGAGTCATGTCAAACAGAGGAGAGCCCCAGATGCTATCTGTCCGAGGCATACCCATCCACACTTCGACACATACTGTGAGTCACGAGGCCGACTAGATGACTACCAGAGAGAGAAGACCCAAACCACAACAATGTTTTTGTTTCTAATTGCCAGGGCAACGAGAAGCTAAGTTTACAGAGAAACATTGCATCTTGGAAGAAGTCCACTTTTTTTTTTTTATTCTATACTGTACTAATGAGATAAATGCAATCAAATGCATGACAATGCTTGTTTTGCTAAAATAGCAAATCTTGAATTACCAGAAGGCTGATAACATAAGCAAAAGACACAAATATAACGGTCGAAATCATGCTGTTAGAGTGCTTTAAAAACCACTATATGATTCTCCAATTTTCTCTAAAATGTTTAAATTTATTTTTGATATTATTCTGAATAATATCTATATGGAAATATTCATATTTAACATTAACTGAGCAGCACAAAAAAAAGGAATTCCACAGTACAGTGCACTATTCTAAAGTGCTATAAAAATGTGTTTCCGTCAAAGAGAACAGGAATAAATACTAGAAAGCAGACAGCTGTTTTAGTTACCATGACAGCTTAACAATGAACAGTCGGGTCACTACAGATACAGAAAGTTAGTAACTAAGGCAACCCATGCGCTATTACGCATGGCGCATCTATATTGGGAACCCTGGCCGTGCACCAGAGGGTCACTCCATGACGTAGCGACGCACGCAGGGCGTTGTTCTCCCATAATGAGACACTTTATAACAGAACGTCAGTACTTGCATCAATCTAGTCTGAGAGCAACTTTTAGGACTGAGGAACTACCGCTGTTGGACTCGTTTGGGAAAACTTGCTTTTGCTTGTTGTAAGCCTAAACCCCTTTTTTTTTGTGGAAATACAAGCTCGCCGCTCCAAGTAAGTGGACCTTTTTTCCTAACTTCCTTGTATTCAGCTGCACTCAGTCAGTCCTGGCGGATTAAAGAAGGGAACGCGCCTTTCGCTGGGACACCAGACGCTCCATTGCGCGCACAGACTGGATGATTGGTCTGTCATCGCAGAAAATAAGCTTATTTGGTCGTTTAGAAATTATTTTATTCGATAAATGCACTGAATATTGTTCTACTTTGTTACCTTCTTTAAAGTGGTTCTTCATTGCTTTGTTGTACAATTATGATGTTATGATATATATGAGATCGACTTCTTATTACTCATTTTCTTTCCATTAGTAGATAAACCGTCAATTTCAGGCAAATCGTAAAAGAACAGAACTTCAAACATGAACAATTATCGCAATTCAAAATAATCAAACTTTTAAGAAATGTTTCTATTATTATAGATAAAAACAACAAATGTGATCCTTAAAATGAGGTAAACGTAAATCAAACTTTCCAGATGACCAACAATGACTTTTTTTTTTTTTTTTAATGGTGATATGTTTATTGGTAATTTACATGCTGTATAAACGTGAAACATCCAGAGAAGTTTCTCTAAAAAGGCTGTCAGTGTTTAACGTGCTGCAGCGACACACCCATGTCCCAATAATCTGACATCCACACACACACACACACATTCTAAAAGAGACGTCTCCTCTTCTCATTACTGCCCAGACCGCCTGAAAAGATGCTGCTCCTACTCCTGGGAATCGTCCTCCTGCACATTGCTGGCCTGGTCCTCCTGTTTGTGTCAACAATTGTCAGCGTGAGTAAAACTGTTATTATGCTTTTCCCCCCTTTTTTGTTCAGATGCAATTTTAAGGATTAAAGATGAATATACGCAAACACATATGCTGCAGAATCAGTGTTGAAGCTTACTGAAATGTAAAACCATCAGAAATAAATACAAGTTCATAGATTGTTTGCCTCCCACACTTTATAGTGGTGTCTTTGAATATGACATATATTTTTTCTGACGTATTTTGTGCTCTACACACATAACTGATCAAGTTGTATGTTTTTGACAACAGGTATGGACATCAGGTGAAACTAGCACCTCAGACCTCTGGCAAAACTGCTCTACTATCAGTGTGGGATCCCACTGTGATCCAGGATCAGCTGGAGGTAAGACTCATTTGACTACTTTCCTTTAGGCCAACTATTGTGTTACAATACAAGGCTAATGGAGACTTAAAGCATTGCTCTGCTGGGAAGTTGTAAAACATCTCAAGATTTGTTTCCCACTGATAAGTCACCCTTCAAGTTTACTTTGAGCAAAATAGTCTCCCCTAATAGCACTGAAACCAGTTTAAACCATCCAAATGGTACATTTGGAAAAATGACTTGCTGAAAAACAACATTTACCATGTTGATGATGTGGGTGTGTCACAGCTCCTCTGGGACTCTGGTGCCATCTAGGGCAGAGAATGTGCCAGTGCTGTGTTCAAGTGCTAGCTGATAGGCTGCCACTGTATAAATAGTCGTGGGGTGATGTCCATATTCAGGTCCGGTGTTGGGAGTCCATAGTTACAGGAGCCTGGGAGTTGTGGAGGATCAGGGTGGGGCTGCAGAGAGTATTTAAAGTGTTACATCTATGTATGTACGTGTGTGCGTCGGCATGCCTGTGACTGAGTCTTTGAAAGCAGGGAGACCTTGGACTACCTCATTCAGAACATAGCATTCTGACGGTGGGGTCCCACCCAGTGTCAGATCATAGTGTCCAGTGTTAGTTTGCAGGGATCATTGGGACAATCTAAGGCAACAGCTGTAGGGTTACATATTTATTTAGACAATCAGCCCCCTCATTTTTGAATTAGATAGCATAAGATTCAACTCTTTTTTTAAAACCCTTACCTAATAACATTTTCATTCTCCTAAAATGTATTATTAAGCATAAACGTGAGATCACTGTTTGGCAGCTGTATGTTTTGCTACTAAATGTGCCGTCACAGTGGTGCAGGAGGTACTGGCTGCATTTAGGTGATGTCATTTGTCTATGAGCCGTGCTCAGCCAGTGTGTGTTTTGTCAGGGGCAGCAGCGCCTGCCAGGTAGTTTCATGGCACGGCCAGTTTGTTTGACTTGCTTTCATTATTTGCACTGACGCACAGTGTTTGTTCAAGAAGGCTTTGGGAGATGGAAGATAGTGGACTCTATTCTGACGTGGCGGCCAAGCCTGCGTTCAATAGAGCTTTCTGAAGCTTTGCTGAGCTGTCAAGTTCCTTCTGAAGTGAATCATAATCATCATACTGTAGTGAGGTGCCTTGGTTACCAAAAGATTGGCTCCATTGACTTTTGATGACGCCAAGGTGAGATATGCACATGTCACAGTTATCACATGCCCAGTTAAATATCACTTCATAGAATGTACTCCTTCTAAAATTAGAAATTGAGGAAGAATCTCTTCTGCTTCCATGCAGTTCAACTATACATAACCATAGTGAAGTAAATACTACAGTGGTTTGTTGTTGAGCTGTGCGGCACAGTGGGGTGTAGGGCCTCAGAATAGAATGCAGAAACCATCAACAGTTTGTTTCCTGTTTGGTATTACAGTAAAACGCTTGAGTAGAAGCTCTAAGTGTCTGCATTGTAATAACAACACAATAACAACACCATGGCGTTCAAGTACATTTTTTTAATATGAGTCAGACTTGCTTATCAGTGATATTCAGTGAGTCCTGAACCGCGCCCCTTGTTAGGAAATGCCCCATGTCACTGTTTCCTACTAGTGGTCAGTGAAGGAAGGAAGGACAACAAGATGTCTGTTTATCGGAGAGCAGTGATGGATTGTCAGTATTTATAGGTGAGCACTATTCATAGGGGCAGGGATGGAACATTTCACCCATTTCTCACAGTGTTATTACCCAGTATTATGTAACATCTGAAAACAGCATCATTAGAAGGGAATCTAATTGTTGCTCCGGTGTGGTATTTGTGCTGGCTGCATTTTGTGGATGGAGATTTGCAGCGTGTCATATTTCCTCCCATATCTCATCCCCCCCCTCGAGCCAATGATCATCAGGACATATTGTAGCGCTGTTATTTCTGGTAACCTGACTCCATCCTGGTAACCCTGTGACATCATTCAAGATCTCGTTTCCTTTTAAATCTATAACGCAGTTCTTTTTTTTCTCCAGGAAAACCTACATGATTCTTTATAAATGTGAACAGATAGAAAAGTAACACGTCCAGGGATATTAAATGTTTTCATTTAAGCTTACAATGTGAGAATGTGGTTAGTGTAAGTCATTATATCACACAGCCGTATCATTAATGAATCATTATTTTTGTAACATGAGCGGTAATAAATCATCCATCATGCCTTTTTTTTTTACAACATGTAGTAAGTGCCCCCCATTAAAGCACCACACGCCTGTGATTAACATAATGCAAAAGGATCGATAAACCAAAGATGCTTGAGAATGTTGAAGCAATCACATCCAATATGGACGTCAGAGATCAGCAGTGGCGTGCATACAAATGGAGCTATAATAAAACCGCTCTTTTTATAGGGCTTGTCTGGAATAATTGCTAATGCTAGACGTAGACGGTGGACGCCAACGCATAACCACATTGAGGCAGTTGTTTGTTGTTCAATATCTTGTGACATGGCAGCTTTAGATGCCAGAAAACCATGACAGTAGTAGCAGATACCAAAAAGAGTAGAGTTAGATAGATACAGAGGAACTAAAGAGGACAACAAGGCACCATGGATAACCCTCAGACAAGTAATAGACCCTGCTTGGAAAACGTTGGTTTCCTGGCACGATTGTAGCACAAACACACAACCACACACTCCAAAGATACTGTAGCACATGTAGATGGTCTCCCCCATCAATACAGGTGTCTAATGGGTTAATGGGCTTATAGCCTTGGAGGACTAGCAGTGCCGATCGATGGTACATTCAGTCAGAGGTCCTGCTGTGAGGGTAGCACGGAGCTTTTAGGAACAAGATACCTAGGTTTCATTGTTATTGATCCATTACACATTCCCAGAAGTCAACATTACTTTGAGAGGATGCTTCTATTCAGCAGGGACAAAACCAGCAGGCTTTGGCGTTTAGTTTTTTTATACGAGCTTTCCATTCTCATGCGCTCCTTGGGACAATTTTAATGTAGGTATATTGATGCTTTGGATAATGATGATTGTGTATCAATTATTGACAACACTCTTCCTCTCTTTCCTCCCTCCTGCAGAATGGATTCAGGCAGTCCAGGCTCTCATGATCTTGTCCATCATCTTCAGCTGCATTTCTCTCCTGCTCTTCTTCTGCCAGCTCTTCACTTTGCAGAAGGGCGGACGCTTCTTCCTCACTGGAACCTTCCAGATCCTTGCCAGTAAGTTCAATTCTCCCTTTAACGTCTTCTCCCCAAATGAATGAATATCAGATGGACATTATATTAGCTAGTGTCAACACAAAATGTCCAAAGAGATTTATGTTGAATCTGGTATGACTACAGCTTGGGAAACAACATATCATAATGGCCATATCCCAGATTCCAAGTGACATCTTCAAATGAGTTGTTTTGTTCGACCAACAGTCCTGAACCCAAAGGCATTCAATTGTCAATAACATAAAAAACTCACATTTGAGAAGTTGTACACATGAGTTCTCAGCCACTTGACAATCCACTAAATACAGTTTCAACATTACTCTAATTGGAACAGTAAGACTTGACTTGAGTAGTCTTCAAAATACAGCACTCTAACAAATCCTCCTTCAAAAAAAAAAAACAGAAGCAGATGATAACACTGCATCTACTGTGGCAGAGAATTAGATGAAGTGTGAGCCAGTAGCTAATGGTTTAATGCTCCACTTGTCCATTGTTCTCCATGCCCTTTGGCCAGAGAGTGGCTCCACTGCCAGCCCATTGTGTCCCCTCTGGGCAGCCCTTTCCAACATCCCAGGTTGGCTCTCTATAGTGGGCATTGACTGGCTCCAGGTGCCCACTCAGCCAAAAGGGACTGGCGCTCGGCACACTGCCAGCCGTGCAAGTTGAAATGTCAGGAAGGGCTGGCAGTGTGGGGGTCCGACAAACACATCATGTCATGTCGTACCAGGGAGGTGGGCAGAGCCGGAAAATCTTTCTATGGCTGGCTCTGAGATCAATAAGCATGAACCATTGTGTTGTTGTGGAAGGATGCCTTCTGGGAAACCTGCTCTGCCAGACAGGGTTCGGTCCAGGACACAAGACTGCAGAGAAACATGATCTGATAATTGATCGAGATTATGTCCTAAGTGCTCACTTTTTCCTCCCCTGCAGGTTTGTTCGTGATGAGCGGAGCCATCATCTACACGGTGATGAGTCCGCAGTGGGTGCCGGATACGGAGGCCTTCGGGTACTCCTACATCCTGGCGTGGGTGGCCTTCCCATTGGCTCTGATCAGCGGACTCATCTATGTCATCTTAAGGAAGCGAGAATGAGCCATCACTCCATCCCAGTGTTTCCCAGTAACCCTCTACCAAACTGCAAGTGTCATCAGTTCCACTCTGAAGTTAAAGATTTGATGCCTGAGTACCAATGGCCCCTGAAGCCACCAGGCCAATTCACCCCAATCACAGCGAGTTGGGGTAATAGCAAAAATCAACAAGCAAACCAACACAAAAACAACCAATACTGTCTCAGTTAAAAGATGTATATAGTATCTATGGTTTAAAACCTATTTATAACACTTTTTACATATATGTACATAGTTGTGTTGCTCTGTCAAAGGATATGTGTAAGAGCTTTGTTTTAGCTGATTAAGTGCCTCAGTGTTTGTTTGTAATGATGAAATAATTAGATGCTATTTTGTCAGGTTTTCCTTTCTATTTTGTTGCCTTTTTTGTAACTGCCAAAGAATTAGTAAAAAAAGCAAAAAAAGTATATTAACCAAAGTGCATGTATAGAAATAGAAGGGTTAGAGGGTTTGTTATGGGCTTGCTCTGCAAAGAAAGAGTGGTAACATCCGGTAATGTAGCATAGCCAGGAAGTATAGATTGGATCCTTTTTCTATTTTGTGACATTTCAAGTTTCAGTGTTTTTATTTTCAGTATTTTTTTAATTTCTTATTTTCAACAAAAGATGGTGCTATGTATTTATCATTCCTATTAATGATAGCATTTACAACAGAGTTACTTTGTAATTGTTTAGAGTCAAACAGCCATTCATTAAAGTGAGAATCAGACAGAGGTACACCTGTACTGTACATACAGTGCCCGACTGCTTCTTTAGGGAACACAGTCTATTCACACAGCAGTGTCTGACCATTTCATTATTCTTCATCTATAACTGTACTTAAAATACATTTGAGGTGGTGCACTGAAGAAATGAAAAGTGTAATGTCAGTATTATTCTGTAAGTTTGTAAAGTTAGACAACAATACTTCTTATTAGCTTTATTTTACCTTTGTTTGCCTTAATTGTCATTCTGATGTCCATGTTCACCTGGGTGATAAAGTCTCCAGATGAAGAAGCCAAATTGCCTATTAAGTAGAGTACCATAAACAAATAACACTGTGGGGCATTATAGCCTTAAAGTCTACATTTAACATTATTAGAATTAAGTGCCACTGAGTTAAAGCCATATGAGATGATAGGAAAACATATTTAGTATTAACTCAACATGTGAGGTAAAGGACAGAGAGGGTTTGCAGTGATGATTCAAATGTCTGTTTCACATACTTGAAGTTTGGCACGCTGCACTCCTGCCCACACGATGATCTACTGAATAAAACGCTGTTCATGTGTTGTGCATAACAGATAGGGATTACAATATAGCCTAAAAACACTCACTTACTCAATAAAACTACTCTCACATGATCTAATACTGTGTATTGAACTGTTACAAGGGACTGGTTTCACGCTAACCATAATGCATGCAGAATTTAATTGTTTAGGCTGTTGTGCTGTCAAACTGTAAAATCCAAAACACACATCTCTGGGCTAAAAAAGCATGGTATAAGAAAACTGCCAGTTAATAGGAATATACATCAAATTCTGATCCAACTGTGGTTTATGAATTTGTTTTGCATGTAAATATCTGATGGATGAAAGATGTTGAAATGCAGTGTGCAGCATGTAAATTCCTGTGTACTTTCTAACCAAGCAAGTCCACCTTACAGTATGCCATCATACTACGGGAGATCAAATAAGCTGCCTGGTTGCAAATGCTGTACGTGACTTGTGTTACACACAGTGGTGCAGAGGCATGGCCGTTGGCACCCGATGCCAGTTATGTAAAACATGCAGCTAGTGTTTCAGACTCTCATGGCATCAGAAATAAGACGACTTTGACGTGTTTCGAATACGTAAGCAGGGGTCTGTCCTCCACTTGACATCTTCTTGTACCATACTGTAAGCCTTGAATTCAGAGCTTACACTAGCTAGTCTGCTGTGGTTGTATGTTCATTATTTGGTTCAGTTAGAAGAGAATGTCTCTAATGACAACTGCCCTTTTTATTTTCTGTAAAAGCAACCGTTCAATTGTCTATGCCATGTTTACACCTAAACTTCCAAATGCTCTTCATGTTACCAAAGCTAATTTGACTGAACTCATTAAAGGATGTTTCTCACAACCACGATGGAGCTTTTTTGTGTCTTTTAATACCACTACACATATGCAAAACATGTCCAATCCATGTCCCACAGAGGTCATATCTTTATGTTCAAATGGCACAATACTAACAGTTTGTGATGATATCCATTCATTTGAAATACGACAGTCAGTCTACAACCAGCAGTTAATCTGCACCGAGCTGATGATAGGTATCTAAATCTCCAGCATTGAAAGAGTACTCTCAGATGGAGGATTCTTGCTGCAGGCCTGAGAGGTCACAGCCTCCCACTACCCCACCCCTCCCTGACATACTAGCACTGGGTGAAATTGGGACACTGCATTCTAGGCTGCATGTTTGAGTGTGTTACTTCAAATGTCTGAGAAAGTCTGTGTGGTCATTCATTTGCCCCATGTTTCAATCATATCCAAATTTGAAATTCTAAGTTGTATTAGACAAGAAAGTTTTAGGCCTGGCATCAAGCGGGGTGAACAAGGCTGCTTTTAATATCCATAAAATGCACTTTTAGATAGATTATCATATTTGGGGTAATGTCGCCATCTGGTGGACGCATATAGAAACTGCAACTTCATTATTATATCACAATTGGTTAGCAAATACTGCCTCTATGTGGTGAAATATAGGTACTACAGACAAATCTGATAATATAGTATAAAGTATAGTATAAAGTACAAGTATACAATGGCCAGTGTGGGTTTTGCCATCCAATCTGATGTCATGTAAGGAAATGCTAATATAAGACTTTCAATGTCTCCCTTGGGCTCAGCTGATAATTATCTTATTAAAATGTGCTAAACCTCATTAATTCTATATATGATCATTAAGCATTGTGTAGAGCTTGTCTGTTAGGGCGGATACTCTCACCATCTCCCTGGGCGCGGTACATAATGGCAGCCCACTGCTCCTAACACTAGGATGGGTCAAATGCAGAGAAACCGTTTCGTTACATAGTACCTGTACTACGTAATGACAATAAATTGAATCTTCAATCTTCTTCATTAGTATGCATGCATGTGATAGAGAGAGGTGATTTCTCCAACCTGTCTACTGTGCATTACCCTTCAGTCCGTCTAATGGATGCTCCTCCTCCAGAGCCATTATGAAGGCTTTTATGGCACAACACATCATTAGAGGTAAAGGCAGAAGACAAATGACTCATCTACATTTGATAAATGATTTGATATATTCAGACAAAAACATGATAACATCACAGTGTTGGTAATTAGAACAGAATGGAGGGCAGATTAGGGTCAAACTGTTGTGCAAAAACACCTTTGTGCTTCAAACCTGGATCTATTGGGCATCAGCAGCGTTTGATTCACTTAAAATAAATGTTAAAGATCTGGAAGAGATGATGTAGATTACAGACAGTATTCCCATGGTGGCCAATGAGCAGATTCATTATTGGCCATTGATATTGAGCCAATTCAATGTTATTACCTAACAAGCAAGTCTACTGTATACACTTCAATAGAGTTTTTCGATGTACTAGATAGAACAAATAAATTAAGTCAGCTGTCAAGGTTATGGACTTCTGTTTGAAATAGAATAAATGTTAAATTGTTAAGGTATCAGCCATGAGAAGTAGGTAAGTGTCTGTATCAACTTAAAACATATCCGTATTCATAGGTCAAATCATGTTAGTTGACAACTATTCAACTAAAGCAGATGATTAAGAGGACTGTTTTACAGGCAATCCTTGATAGGTGTTCACTTGGATTTAAATATGTAATGATTTATTTCTAATCTTAGTAAACTATATGGTGAGACCAATGCCCTGTATGGAAGTATTCGCATAGGTTACATTATGTCCACGTAGTTTATACAGGATTTTTGTCAGAATTGTATATGTCAAGCTTATTTACCTATATATATATATCTTATTTTGAATGCTTTAACTGCTTAAATGTGGTAAAAACGAAACTTTTTTCAACAACCACCGATGTATTTGTAATTTATATATATATATATATATATATATATAAGTAAATCAAAATGCATTGCATAACAGATGGGTTCTCTAGGGATATTTGACCAACAAATGTACCTTTATTTTGTACCTGTGTTTTTAATGTCTAAACTTAGTGAACCTCTGCCTTTATGGCACGCACACAAACACAGTGATGACAAACGTGTTGTGGGACAAAGCACACAGACATAAGACATATTCATCACATCATCCTGAACCAACACCAGTCTGGAAAGCATTGTCCCGTCCCTGTCACATAAACTATAGTGATGATGACAGATAAACATCCTGTCAAAGCCATTTCATGTTACCACCACCTGGCTTTTGGCAGTTAAGTGAACATCATAAACTCCTGCCTGTACGCAATCTTTTTAAATCAGTATTTTGCACACAGTTTTAAATGTGTTAAAATAGCAAAACAATGACTCGAAAAGAGGAAATCTGTCAAGTATTGACTGATACGCATTATTACCCTAGTGCTTAATGGGTGTCTGGGGGTTCCACGCATCATTGTTTTGCCATCACGGGGTGAAGGACAAGCTTTTAAAACAATCACTTTTCCCATCAATGCCTTAAAAACTCCCCCTGTCTTGTCCTATTCCACCCAATGTCACTATCACCTCCTGACCCCCCTCTTTTTTCCTACTGGGAGATCATATTTTCTAATTTCTGGAACGCATTGAAGGGGGTGCAGACAGAAGGTCCACCTTAATCTATCATAGCTCCTCCGAGGGTGCAGGGGTGCATGGTGACAGGCACAAAATCGCAGAGCCGGTGGGGAGGAGGGCTACAGACGCAATTAAGGCTCATGAAATGCAAATGGGGCTTCATGCGAGGGTCTGGGGTTGGGGAGGAGGGTGAGGTCTCTCCTACTCTCACGGCCATCTGTTTGCCATCAGCACCAGTGGAAGAACCTCTGGGTCTTGGTAATTTGTAGCTTTAATAATGTTCTCCCTCAGCTGGAGAATGAAGAGGGAGATGGGGATGTATAGGGGCAGAGGACGTGCAGCTGGCTAAGATTAGATTTAGATTAGCTGGCCAGATCACACGGAGATTTGACCTCTTACACTTTAGCACGGGCATAAACACACTCACATGTTCACACGCAAGCATGCACACACATGCATCCCATGTGCAGGCACACATTCAGACCCACCACCACACAATACTCGCCTGTGCCCCATCAAAGTTGACCCTGATCCGAGGTGTACTTATAGCCGAGTTGGTCCATAAATCCCTGAGGATGTCTGGAGGTTATTTAGGAACATGATCCCTGGCCGCTGGGGGCCGTGCGGATACCCCAAGAGTAGATTCCGTGTCTACATTTCCCCGGAGCGCCGTACAAAGAGGTCAAAGTGGACACAGTGTGTTTTTTTTTTCTTTTTCCAAATGACACAGCCATTCATTTGTCATGTGGTAAAGGAAAAGGACTTAATACCAACCGTACCAACCCATTCCCAAGGTCAAGACTGAGCCAAGGTCAGCACCACACATAGCTGACCCTTGACCCTGGGGGCGTCCATCATGCTCAGGGAATAAAAGATGAGATTGGCAGCGGACTAAATGAACTTCAGCTTCTGCCATACATCAACATCACTTCCACCAACATGCACTCGCACTGAGGGCCTAATCATGTTATCGGCAGTGAAAGAGCAGCGAAGACGGAGGAGGGCGATGGACGTGTCACAGTCATGAGGACAGGAGCTTGGTGGTTGAGTTATGGCGCAGTTCCACTACAGCGCGGAGCTCGCTTTAAGCGTGCCGTGTCGTGCCGTTCCCGTTTTTGGTTGTGCTTCCACTAGGCCTAGTTCCGGCCCGGCCCGGCCCGGGGCCACTTTTTCACGTCTTTTCTGGCCCGAGAAAATTGTGGTTCTATCGAGGCCAACAAACAGGGCTGAGTCGGGCTGAGTATGCTAAACTAGAGAGAGGAGCGCTGGCAAGGAGGCTACAACTACAACAAGATGGACATATTTGACCGTGATTTAATTGTAATACACGTTTCAAAATGATGCCGAAGTAACAACATACTGATACCGGTTAGTAAAAACCATGAATTAATGCTTTGTCAAGTCTGCAGACAGACGGCAGGCGAAAAACCTTTTAAAATGCGTGTTTTCTAAATGGAGATTGGCTAAGCTAACGCAGTATATGCTCCGACCGTCCACACTCACAACAACGGCCTATACAGACATAAATAAAGCAGCGACTGTATTCACCATGACACAGGCAGTCTGTGGTGTGTACTTGTTTAACTTTTGTCGAGTTTCTGAACATATATGAGGAGCTGTGAGCTCTGAGTGCTAACAGCTAACGGCTGTGTTGTGTTTCTGGAGTTCTCATTGAAGATGACGTCACGGCTCCGCCTACACTGCGTTACTATAGTAACTACCCCAGTTCCTAAACTGTAATGGAAGCGCAGCATGAAGTGAGTCGGCCCTGTTAAGGCCGAGTCGGCCCTGTTAAGGCCAAGCCGTACCGAGCCGTACCGAGCGTGGCCGAGGCCGACCGTGTAGTGGAAATGTGCCATTAGAGCAAGCAGTGGTGTGCAAGTGTGCCTCTCTGCCTAACCCTAACCCTTTCCAAGGATGGTGCTACAGGCCGCAACTACAATAAACATGTTAATGTTAATCTAATAGTTTTGAAATGCTCCCGATTTCTGAGGTCTCAAGGTTGGCAAGTATGACTTAAACATCAGTGAGTGCACCTTTAGCAGCTGGGAAACATCACATGGCTCGCTTTCTGCCTCATGAAACGTAAGTGGCACTTGTAACACTTATATTGGCCAACCACACACATATTTGGATTCGGAGGACTTCTGAACAGATGATTTTTAAGATGAGCTGCAAAACTTCTACAGCATGGATCCACCAAATTCGGATGATATGTGTGTAAAAAATGCATGATCAGCATGAGGGCCACATGCCACAAAGGATCCAATCATTTGCCAGCGCTGAACTTCATTTCAATAAAACCACCTTTCAACAGCGGAACAATAGGGATCTCTCTACGTAGCCGACCCGTGCAAACACCCAAAAAA